TTTGCTATACTATATGTCTCACCAATGATCACTATATTCTACTTACTAGTCAGTAACATCTATTCAAGTCAGACTGGAAAGACAAAAGAGAAAAGAAATATTTTTCTTTCGTAAAAAAGATTATCTGTTTTCCTGTATTTTTAATTATAATAATTATATTAAACAAAAAAAAAACAATCCATACATTCAAATAATTACAATAATTTTTCTCACATTCTATCAATACATAAATAAAGTCATGTTTCTCAACCTTTTTTTACCAAGGAAAATTATAAAAACGTAATCCAAATAACTCGAAATTTCATAAAATTTCAATCCAAATCCACAATCTATTAAAAAATTGCAGAATAACCAATCGATAATAAGGGCAGACAAAGGGGACAGTGAAGGAACAGAGTGGTTTGTTCATGCCAAGTTCTCTGTTTAATTACCCGTTTTCATTGCTCGCCCGACGAGCACTACGTTAATTACAGAAAAGAGGAAGCAGCCGCGTTATATCAAAATTAATCTTTATAGAACGTCTCTGGGTCCTTTGCCGTGTTCGCGTGGCACCTTTCTCTCGCATGAAAAAGCAGGGGGAAGGCTAAATAACGCGATAAAGAGCGCAACAAAAGTGCGTGGCAACAACGGAAGAGAAAAGAGCCGTACGTCGCCCCCTCCCCCTGGTCTAACATGATTTTACACGAGTATCCACCGTGGACACGTTCGAAGCGAGACAAAGGGGGTAAAAGTCGCGCGTGCACGCTTTCTCGCCTGTAATTGGCACTCTCGCGTTTTCACAGGTGTCACATGTGACACACTCAGAGAACTTCCGTTCTCCTAACCAGGATCTTTTTTCTCTGTCAGTGAAGACAGATCTCCATGCTTCGAACTACTGTATTCGCGAATAAAGAGGGTTTTAACCCTTCCACTGCGAACATCGTCATTTGTTGGAACAAGAAATTCGGAAATGACCATTTTTTAACCTGTCGTTGCTTTGCATGCGTCATTCGCTTCTTTTGTGATAACTACAGTTGCTACATTTTATAAAATTTATACAAAACGATTGTTAAATCATTAAGAAAGAACATCGTACACAGTGAGTGTCCTGGCTTCCGCGTGGTTCGCAGTCTAAGGGGTTAAATTCTGAGCGCATTACTTTCAATTTCGTGGCAATACTTTGTTTAAACTTTTTAATCGAACGAGTTCAATTTTCTGTGAATTGTTATGTACCATGTAGAAGATCGAAATTGTAATTGAACAATAGATGATGAATAAAAGTTTGTTTCTGGTGTTGATTTAGTTGAATAATTTTTTGAAAAATTACTAGTAATGGGTAATTGAAGTTTGTATCGATAGGTGTTCATGATTTACCGAGATGTATTATTAGTAGGAATTTTATTAAACTGATCTGCTACATAGATCACCTAAAATAATAAATGAATTCATGTAAGTGACAATGTGAGTTGTAATACCTTACGTCTAAGCTGTATAAAATAACAAATTGTTGCTCAAGAACTACCAAACACAAAAATGATTATATTTACAAATTTGTTATATTTAATTTATTAAAATTGTGTACCTGTATTCGTTTCTTTGACTATCTCGACTTTCCACGGAAATGTAAGAATGGAACAATTCTCCAATGCAACAAACAAGGAAAAGCTCTTGCTGACAGAACTGTTTCAAGGCAAAAGGAAATATTCGTTGAAGCAAAAAAAAAAAAAAATACACGACCCTTTGACAAGAAGGTAACAAGGAAACTGTCAGAGGTCCTGGGGTCACGAAACGACTCGCGATCGAAGGCGTTCGTAAATAATGATATTCGACATTTTAATATTCATCTGTCTCCTTAGCATTTCCAACCCCGAATGCACCATCTTTTTCTCTTATCGGGAGATTTCTTTATGCAGAAGCATCTTCTGTGCCGAATCTGACGTTTTAATCTCAAGTATCCCAGATGAGATCCGCGATTTCGTATATAAGAAACAGAACGACGACGGCGAAAGAATGAAGGATCTGGTGATACGAAGAGAGGACTAGAATAGAAAGGACACTCTGCAGACAGAATAAAAAGTGGTATATCGGAGAAGAGTCGTCTAAAGGAAGGGGGAAATGATGAAATCGATGGTAGAGAAAATTTGTGCTTCCATCGCTCTTTTTTGTTCTTCCTCAGATCGTTTGTGAGAAAAGGTTAACTTTACGACGCCGCGCCAGCCTGCTTCAAAGGGCAAATTATGGAGAAACTAATTCGGTCGAGAATAAAAATTATTGTGGACATACTGTAATCGTAATATTAACAGAAATTCAGAATTTTAAGGTAATTTGAAGGTAATTTGAAGGTAATTTGAAGGTAACTTGACTTCGTATTGATAGGTCTGTTTTCATATAAGGTAGATGTTATGTTCAGAGATTGTTATATTTTCTCTTTGTGTTTTGTAGTTACTTGGTGAAGAATTTAAGAGAAAAGCTTATTAAAGTATTTAACAACACCACCAGAAGCGGGTTGTAGAAGACTTTTCACAGTACACAGTGATCAATTTCTTTCTCAGTTATATTGCATTACTCCGTTTGGTAATTGTTCCAGAAGTATATTTTGTTCAGAAACAAAGCTTTTCCAGAAATATAATTAGACAAGAAAAGTGTTTTTATTTAACATTTTAAGTCGTATTATGATTGACTAACACCTGCAAAAATATATAGCAATCATTTATTTCTGCATAAAAGAGTTTAATTCATAGTCAAAGAATAATATATCAAGTCTCAGCTAGAATAAAACAGATTACTGTTGAGACTCTCTTTAAGAAATAATTTTCAAAATATTAGGTTGGTGCAAAATAAATTCCTACAGTTTTATAATTTTGTATATTTTGCACAGATAGATCGAAAGAAATCGTCACTCCAGTTAACTTTAATTCTCGATTCTCAAATTCTCAGTACTCTATACAAAGTGTTCTATATTCGAAACTAAATGGAAAATCACAAATTATGAAATTGGGTTACAGGGTCAGTTTTCAAGTCATTAACAGTTAAAGATTCGGACTAAAATCTCATGAAACCAGGCAATCCAGAAATACACTCTTACCTCGTAGCCAAACGAGTGACGTGTAACACCTGCATCCGAGGCAGGACTATCTTCGTGCGACACTTTATAAAAAAAAAAGCACGAATCGTTGTACGACATTACTCGACGAAATCTACAAGGTAGAACACAGCACACACGTATATAATAAACAGTAAATAAACTAACGTAAACTACACTAAAACGCACTATAATAGATAAATTAACACTTTAAACAAATTCAGAGGCTATTTCACGTGGACTAAATGTGTTCACGTTGACGACTTGCAGATGTTGGGATTGTACCAAGGAAAAGATACCATATCACATGTTCGGCTAACAAAGGAACTTCGGTACCTCGAAAATTCCGATTCCTTTTAAACACCTCAGTTTGTAGAGGACTTCAATAAAAGCATCGGATAACTTTTCGTTTTTAGGGTGAAATCACCCCTAAGAAGGTTAATGTGTTTTCATATTTCCTTGTACATCTGGAAAACTATAGTAGATATCAAAAGATTGTTGCAATGAACATTTAATAGATTTTTATGGTCTATAAAACTGTGAAATGAAATTGTTAAACATTTGCTTATTCATTTATTTATTTATTTGAACAATAAATTTTTAACAATTTCATTGCACAGTTTTTTAAGATAACACATTACTATTTAAGGGGTGGTTTCACCCTGAAATATCAAAAAGTAGTAAAAATGAAAAATTTGTTTGACAATTTCTATTATAGTTTCCTAGAAATTTACAGAGCTTAAAAAAATCGAAATTTTTTGGGTACTTATGCTCCTATAGAAGAATAAGGGCGTATTTTTGTCAGAGAACGCCAGTATACTGCTTTCTCCTACTCTCTGACCCAAATTTTTGTTCGTTAAGAACTCGAAAACGAAGTTTCCAACACAATTCGTCATTCTTGATTTTCGTTTTATTCCGACATGTAGAATAACCCTTTAAAGTTTCCGACACCAATAAACAAATGCACACTGTATGAGTAATCGAAGAAATTCTAGATATTTTTTAATTACAACAAAGATAAAAGTAATTTTCAGATATTCAAACGGCTCTTTGTTTCTCACCAACCCAATAGTATCTAAGGTAAAAAAGTTCATCGTACGCTTTATACAAAGTTGTAATAAAAACAAACTATATTTGAAGTGATAACAACGTAAACTAAAACCTCTTATTGTAGACAGAATATTCCAAAGAAAGGAGCATAATGAGAGATCTGAGCTTCTATGTTCCAACGCGACACCGTATATCAGTTTGCCACAAACGAACGTGATAGATTTTTCACATTAAAATAAATTGAATTATGCATCCAAGAAGAAAATAACAGTACTTTAAACCTTCGATTCATTTTACTAACTCATGTCTCACAGCAGTGCTCTCCTTATCATCGGTCAATAAGAATTTCATTTATCCGTACCTTCAATCGATCCGTTTCAATCGCTACCATCGATCGCGACTTCGTTCGCGGAAATCGTATGAAATCATGTAGCTGAAATTTAGATAGGGAAGAAAAGACTCACGGGAAAAGCGGCGTGGAGTGTTCGGCGGTTGCGCTGGTTCGATTCGTTCGAAAAACGACAAGAATCGTTGGCGCGCGCATGATCTCTGGCGGCGGCATAACGGCGTTATACAATATGTTACACTGAAAGCGATAGTCGTTGCACTTTGTGATTTGACCCTTACCCCACGGTACTCCACGCCTCTCGTGTAATGCGCTCGTTGCTCGGTAGAAATTCCATTTTTTTTCTCTTGGTTTTTTCTCTGGTTCTCATCTCATCTTCACTTTAGACACTGCGCTACACTGACTTGGCACGCGTAATTATTATTCTTATTTATTACTTATTTCCCCCTTCCTCTTCCATTCTTAATACGACACTAACTACTCAGTCAATTTTCCGCCTGTGAACCGTATGTGTAACGTGTTTTTTACGTGTGTGTTGTCGGGAGGGGGGGGGCATGTGTACTTTCTCCTGTTGTGAGCGTGTGGTTGCGGTGCCCCGGTTATTCGAGTTCTAAACGTCATTTTAGTATCTCCGTTCGGTTTGAATCGAGTCCGTGAATTACAGGTGTACGGACGTCGATGCCGTCCGTTCTCGGCTCCGTTTATCGTACGATCGACACCACGATCAGTGCGATCATTAACAGCACTCCTGATGCCGTGATGGCTGCGGATGAATCTGAAATCAGAGGAGAATTCTTTTTGTTGTTGGTGTTCTATTATGTTTTTGTTCGACGTTTCTTTTACACTGCTCGAAATAAGTAGAGGATTATTTATTTTATCTTTATTGCAGTCAGTGTATCTGTCGATATTGCGTATAATACAGTGAAATTTTTTTTACAGAAACATAACTAATGTGAGTAATGTAAGAAAGAAAAGGAATCATAAAAAGAATTATTGTTAGAAAGAATTTGAAAGAATGGGAATTTGGCAAAGTATTCGTTTCGTAATTTTCACTCGATTGATGTGATAAAATGATCACAGTAGCGACCCTCTAATTGTGTTAAGCAGTATATAATCACATCTTTATAGAGGAATCAGCAAAACCGGACATTATATAGAAAGGTGGTTCCTCTAATGATGAAAATGACATACAGATGTTAAATATTTCATTAAATTTTTGATTTTATTCGTTGACGAGGAATTCAACTTTTATTAGTAAAAATGGCAAGAAGTTCTTCGACATTGAAGGAAACTATTTCGAATACTAGATGCTAGCAAGAATTGTTCAATATTAACCCAGATAAGCCAGAATTTGTTTTGCAATTTTCTTCAAAATAATATTTTTACTAATTAAATTTCTGTAAGTATTACTGTTAGCTAGTTTTTAGAAAAATTGCTTCGAAATTCCAATCCATTTCCTCCCAAAAGGACATTAGGCTAGATATAACATGTGCCAAAAGTCGCAAACCGAAATTACCGAAAAGTCGTCCTTCTGGAAGGATGACAAGTTTATCCGGGTTACTAAACATTTTTGACGGTCAAATGGTCGTTACTTCTGTATACATTTAATAAATGAAAAATACAAAAGAATCTACAATTTACTTATTATTCATGTATTCCAATTCATAGAAGATGGGTTACACAGGTTTTAGGGAACTGAATAAAAGGAAGAAAGGGTGGAAGATAAAATGAATTATAAAACTTACTTTATGAATTATATAACTTATTTTATCATTCATTTTCGTAAAGTCGTCTATGATGCTCAATTTTCATCATTCTTTGTCCTAGTGTAATAATCGTGCCGTTTATAATCAGATACGCATCACATACAGGAATCCGGCTTCTCCTTTATAAAACTTTAAGGGAGAATCGATTTTTTGAGTAACTGATTATACTAAAATCAGAATGGGCCGACTGTATAATTTGTGAGGCTCCTTTGATTTCGAAAAGTTAAAATTCCTCGAAATTTCGGGAAACATATTCGAGCCAGAAATGGAATTCTGGACAAGATGTTTACTCTGAATTATAATTTCAAATTTCCGATTTTCAAGCAAAACGTTCGAACCATTCCGTTTAAAATCCAAATAGTTTTGTTTGGAAGTTTAGGGGACGGTTCTGTCACGAGTGTTCGGCGGCAGTTCGAAGCACGCAAGTTGGTTCAGCTCAAAGTCTGGAAGTGCAATTAGTTCTAATGGTTCTAACACGGAACAATGTCGAAGTGTCTGTAGCCGATTTTGACGAAACTTTCCATATCTGTGAGTTAAGCAAAATTAAGGAACACTTACTTTTCCGTAATAAAACCAGTTTTTAGAGATTCATCAATTCTATCTAACTGTGAGAAATATTTAAAAAAATTATAGATATTGAAGATATTGACTCAAGAATGAAATATTAGCTGCCTTCCCAGCATTCACAAATTTCAGCTATTTTCACAGAATTTCTCATTTTTCCACTTAAAAAAGTTGAAATTACCAGATATAGAATAAAACTGTCTAATTTGTAATAAGTAGACTCTACATTCAAATTATTTTTAATATAATAGAAGTATGCGAAATACAGTAAACGACAAAGCTTTTATCGAGTTTAACTTTTAAATGACAACACACCTATATTTCTTAACTCTTTGAATCCTGTTGGTATAATATATCTCAAAAAATTTTCAACACTATACTGCTAATAGAATACGTTATTATTAGACTATGGATGTTTATGCAAATATAAAATTTTATGGATTAATCTTTAGAAACTGAACCCAAAGAATAATTTATTTATTATGTTAAAGGTTCGAATAGGTTCGAAGTAAAACAATCTAAGGAAACTTTCTAAAACATTGCACCATACTGAATTTTAGATAATCGGATGTTCTATAAATGCATAAAATCGCAGTCTAATAGTTATAGGAGGAAAATTTAAGCAATTAAAGATTAATTCATTTATTTTATTTTTAATCCACTGAAATCGCTAAAAGAAGAACGAATTCTTTTATTTCTACTCCTGCCTTTATAAATCACTTCACGAACTATCATTTTTCATAAGGATGCAGTTATAATTAGCCGGTGGATTTTATGAATTTATAGCATATGCGATGATAACAAATTTACTGTATTAAAAAGTTTAATAAACTCCACTACGTTTTTTGTTTCCTTTGGGACCTGATAGAACCTTCATTGATACAGTAAACAAATTTCTGTTTATTTCTAGTCCCCAAGTCTAGTAGTAAATTTAAAAAAATTCATATTTGCACAAACTTCTGCAATCTAGTTATAATTTACAACGCATAAAAAATCGACAGACCGTTGCGACAGACCTGATCCTTAAACCGAACAATCCCTCGTGATGAACATTTCAGTCCTTTCGAAATAAATCCGTTTCAGGCCTCCTGTCCGCCAACGCGACCGAAAACGAGAACGTTTCTGCGTAATCAAGGCTGAAGGAGCACAAGATCCCCGTGCTCGTTTCCATCTAGCCGCATTAGAAACGAGCCGAAAAGCACCGAGTGAAAAAATCCTTGGATACGAGAGGCCAGAGGGGAATCCGTTGCCGTAAAAATCGCGTCGGTAGCCCCGAAAAGGTATGATGGATGCGGAAATCAAGAATTTCCCCACGGAAAGTCCGTTGTTCCGATGGAAAGACACAAATTCAAGCGCGCGAAGGATCTTTTCCGACGAGACGAGAAGCCAACGGAAGGATAAGCATGGGGGCAAAATGGTTAGGGAGGAGTACAGACTGGGAAGTACAGAGAAACGTCGAGAAGTAAGAGTAACAAGAGAATGGGAAGTCAAGTTATTCTTCCAGCTGGCCTGCGATATACTTTTAGCTATTACCCGCTTCGAAACAGATGTATTCCGCTGCTTCTTCCCAGCCTCACTCACCTCTAATTACAAATCAGAAGCGACCCGTTGGGCCTTCGCCCCAATCATCCCTCCTCAATCCTCGTTTCCCCGTTTCGTTTCTCAGCCACGAGGCTAACTTCTACCTAGCGGGGCTGATGTTCCTTCCCTCGTTCTGTTCGAATCTCTACTGGAGAGAAGGATTCTCGCCTTGTTCCGCTGGGTTTTGCGCACTGTGTCCCTTTCCACTCGCATTTCCGCCACTCCGCGCTCTGTTTTTCTTTTCGCGACTTTTTTGCGTCGGTTTTGTGGCTCCCGCCGCGGCACCCACCCTCACGCTAGACTCTTTTTCCCGCGAAATCGAGCGAGTGTGGCCAAATTTTTTTTCGGGGCAATTTGTCACGGTTTCGCGGTTGTTATACCGTGTGGATGATCGTGGAATTTTTTGATCTAGGTTTATTATCGCGTCGTTCATTTCATCGGGTATGCAAATTGTTACGGGTAAGTAGTGGTTGAATTGTAGAAAATATAACGCTGTTTAATTTTACGAAACACACACCGTGGAACGAGTAGATTCGACTGGGATCGAATTTTTTCTGTGGCTTTACTTATGAATGGATTTGTAGGAGATTCTTCTTTATTTAGACTGAGTGCTATAAGCGGTGGATATAAAATGGGGGGCAGTCAGGGTTGATATGTGTCATATCTTTACTTATACGGAGGTGTCTATCGGTGGCAATTGGAACATTCTTTCTTTTCCTTTTATGCATTAATAGTACCAAGCAAAAGGGCATTGACTAATATTAGGAGTGAAGTTTCCTCACTTAAAAAAAGATGATCGATGCACGAATAATACAGTAAAATCTTGCTACAGGTTCAAACCTCGGGATCGCAGGGTGTGTATTTAGAAAAGACTGAGTCAATTTTTTCCCTATAATTTCTTTTTTAGTTTTAATCGGAAATATGTCACCAGCGTGTTAATAAAACTTCCCTTCCATACTTGCCTAGCACTCTTCTCTCATTCCTAAAAAAAGTTCCGTCATCCACGTCTAAAATTATCTACTCGTCCCAAGCACTCGAATAAACGAACAGAATACTCAACCTCTTCATTCGTACCACTAAATCTCAATCAGACCAAATATTCTCCGCTCTCAGTCACTTAAAATTTACACGCTTAACACAAATATTGACAAGTATCTTTCATTCTCTACAATAACAAGGGACCAACTAAAAAGGACCCATTACACTCGATCAAACGCGTAATGAAACGCAACAAAAAGAACCACACAGAACAATTTACCTAGCAGGAGTTTCAACGGGATTCATCGTTCCGACGATTCCATCGCGAGGCAAGTTCGGTTGGGGTCACAAGAGAAAGAGAGAGAGGGAGAGAAAGTATCGGGGTTCTCTATGCTCGGCAGTTCGAAAACGAATTTACCCGAGGACATGGTGCCCCGGGAAACCGTTCGACCTTCGATACCAAGAGGGTGAGTCGGGGTGGCTACCAAAGAACTGGAAGTACTTATCAAGTTGTGGAGGGCTCTCGCGCGAGTTTCTTTTTTTTTTTCCACCCGGGGTCCCCGAGCAAAATTACCTACTTCCACGGGACTATCGAGATCGAGCCCGCGGAGGAAACGGATTTTCACACTTTGCCATTATGCAAATTCCTTTTAAAAAGAAACCACCGGTGCGCGGAGGTCCTCTGTATCGAGGAACGAGGGAAGAGGGCAGGGAGGTGCGCTTGAACCGCGGCTGTTCCGTCTGTTCTGAATGAGGGCCGAGTGGAAGGCTGGACGAGGACGGAGGACGGGACAAAGACCGTGATGGGAGGGGGGGAGCGAGTGGGGAGACGGGGGTGGCGTGGAAAGAAATATTCCGATAATGCCCCGAAGGCCTAGAGGAATTTCTGCAGGGGTGCCAAGCCTGACCCCCGCGGCCTGACGTTCGAGCCTCTGTCATTTAAATGCCACTGCACCCACCCCCTTCTATCCTCCAACCTTACGAAATGCCGGATAAACCGCAACTTCGCTCCGAAGCTCGCCTAAGGTTTTGTTTCCTCTGCTCATTTGCCACCGTCAGCCTTTATTCCGGATAGATTTCAATGCCTGTCGACCGTCGCGGACCGATTTCAGACTTCGATCCTGACGTGGTGGACCCGCCGTCGTACCTTCTGTCGGCTTCGATATCGATGTTTGAGGTATTATCAATTTTTCTGACCGAAGGCAGTGTCCGATTAATGAGCTACTGGCGTCGGGGAATTCCGGACGAACCGTGGGACGGAATGACTGTTTCTCTCGTACCAGCATTTTTCGTCTGGACGTAAAGGGACGAATTTCGACGGAAATCTTCGTTGTATCGAAGTAGAATGAAGACAGTCGGGGTTTGTCTGGGTTTTCGTTTTTTTTTTTTGCGAGAAGAAAATTAACAACGTACCAGGTGATCCGTGATAAGTGTATTGGGAAGGGGGATGATGGCAATTCAGTTGATGGAAATGTGATCTGATTGCGTGTTTTTAAGATGATAGTGTTCTGGTCGTTGATTGAAATTCTGGAAGAACTTTCGAACGATTACGCAGGAGAACAATCTATTTGTTGCCAGGGATTTAAGAGTTGATTTTGAGTATTTAGTGCTCGTGATTCTGAATATGCCATTACTTTTTCTTGGTTGGCTCTAGTTTTCGAGATATGCATATGTCTTAAATATGTATACAAAATAAGAAAAAATAAAACAGCAATTTCTATGATTCTGAATTAATTTCATTTATGAAATGCGATAAAAAGAGACAGAGTAATTACATAGAAAGTATTAGAAAGTTATGAAAAAAAAAGAAACAATCACTTCCATAAAATTCATCTCTGAAACAAAATAAAATCATTTATTTTCTTCTTTACTTTGGAAATCACTAATCTGAAAGTAAACAAATGCAGGTTTTAAGAAGAGGATACGTAACAAAAAAGCAATAGTACTAGGTACTTAAAATCCATATAAACATTCAATTTCAACTGTTTCGATTATTTTGAAAATCGCAACCAATTTAGCTAAAACGAAGATGTAATGCGAAATTAGGATCCTCGAGTACTTTGAAACCGATTTTAAATCTCTGACAACATGAAAACATTTTTTCTTCCCCGGTTTTATCTTCGTATTTAGAGATACTAATAAGGGAATATTTTTTGTTGTTACATAGGGAAATTAATGAACGTCGCGAGTTATGTCGTTTCGACTGTAATTTGCGTCGTATATGTTTGAAATAAATTCATTTACATTTGTCTCGATTGACTTATTGTTTCCCACAAAATTAAAGCGTACGAACGGGTAATTCATCTGAGTGTTCCCAAATTCTTGTACAAGTCACATTTACTGTGTATCCTATAACATTTTCCTGATACATTTCAAGAACATATTTATAGAGTTATTTCTATAAAATTTTTAACAAATATTAGAGGCACTTCGACGAACAAACGGATTATATAAACAAATACACGCGTAATCAATGCACGCTTCGAAACATTATCTGTATTCTCGTCACGTGTCGCTATTTAAACGGAAAACAATGAATTCTAATGGACTGGCTCGGCTGGTTATCATTTTATAAATATAACCGTCGGTCGAGGACGGTCGTGACGTCGAGCATTACTATCGACTCTTCTCTTTTCAGGGAAATGAGTTCGGAAAATAAGGAAGAGGTGGAGTTGGAGTGAGACGTTAGCCGTGTCTATCAGGGTTGTCTCGTTTAAATTAGCCCACGGTTACACACAGCAACAGAGCTTACCGCTGTCTGGGGGCCAATTGTAATTCCTTTTCCTATCTGGGTCGCTCGATTTTTGCTCCGACTTGCCGATCTCGCTGAGGTTCGACTGGAATTTATTACCTGCAAGCAAAAGTAGACGTTGGTCTGAATAAAATTTGACACGCGACGAAACTGCGAAATCATGGCTGACGAGACAGTGTCTAGTCTTAAAATGAATATACAGACCACCGGCCACCGATATTAAATGCAAATCTCTTAAATTCCTTAAAGGAAACGCGAACCAGAGTCATTATTCATTCTTCTTTACGTTCCAGCGGTCTTTCTTATTTTAACGTTAGGAAAAATATGACGGTTTTTCAGAACACTTCTTTTTTTGTACAATTAGTTTAACTATATTATTTACGGACTATGCCGTTTATTATTTAACCCACTGACAACTGCGCGTTTTAAACTTCTCGTGTTGGCATTGCTGTGTTTCAGTAAGACAGTTATAAATAAATTATTTATAAATGTAATAACGAGACATTTTAATCTAATGAAGTCAAATTATATTTTTTTTCGTAGTAACCTATACAACTGAAGAGAAAATGAATATTTCGAATGGTAGTGTCAAAAATGGCAGATAAGATATGTGACGTACCGGTACGATTACATTCGTCCGTGGGTTAATAAAATTATTCAATTTTTTGGAATTCGCTCTTTATTATGCGACGTTTGTACTTCTAATTGTTCTGGAAATTCTTGGCACCGATTGCTTTGTAATTGTTTCGCAGTAGTTTCGTATAAAATGATAAATTCATTATTATATTAATCTTTAAGATCAAAGTTACCATTCATGATATTACTGTGAATTAATGCTGGCACGTACATACTTCATATTATAAATTCGTTACATATTACAAATTCAATACATATTTTTTCTACGTACAATTCATTACATATTTCATTTACATTCATGGTCATCTGAAATTCGTACAATCGATCTGTCTAAAACAAACAGTGTCCCGTACTTCTTTATTCCGTTATTAATAAAATTTGTACTAATTCGTTGAGGTGACAGAAACATAATTCAAAACTAGCATTGCAATTACATATAGAGAATGATAGACATGGTTTGGCCGTTCTTTCTACTTCTCCCACCCTTTTTTCTCCCCCTCACACATCATTTTCTCTCTCTCCCGCTATCGATAAAATTGAAACAATGTTAACTCAATCATATTTCCGAGATGACGCGTGATTATAAGACCGATGAAGCATGATTATACAGAGGAAATACAAGTACTTCTCTTTTTAATAAAATCACTAAGAGAAGTCGTTTAATCCATGCGAAATACCGTTCAACGTTACAAGCTTCATGAGCTTTACAAAATTCTAATTCAATTTTTACAGTCAAATCCGGCACACACAGACTGTACCTTCAAAGAGTACATTGTAAATTCAATTTTTTTTCATCGTGTGAAGCAGCAAAGCCCCGAAGTGATAGCTTATTTGATGAATTTTCGCCACGTGGAACTTTCACATGGGAGGTGGGAATGTTTGTCGAAATCGTTAAAAAACCGAGTCGAACGGATGAAACGCCACACGGTAAATTGTTGCACAGTACTGAAACCGGATACACGTTGACACGTTGCAAACTGGAAAAGTGCGATGAATTAATACTACTCGCTACCCGTAAAGGTGCGTTCAATTATCTCTTTCAATGATAATATTCTTCATTATATTGGTTTGTCGTGTTTGACAAAATAACGCTGTGAAATGACGTTAAAGTTAAATTAAAGTGTAATTTCATACAAAATGGAATAAATTCAATGACAACGCATGCCCTGTCCCTTTGTAGGTGAAAACGCATTCATACCATTAATGAAAAGTCGGAATTTTTGAAAGGATCATGTTTCCAACGACATTTTTCAGTACTGCCCCTTGTTTCAATGATTTTTTTGTTAAACAGTGGTTCTTTTTATTTCAAATGTTCCAGTTAACAATAACCACATACGTTCCTTCCTTTCCAAATTAACTAGCTGTTTACTAAAGAAATTTCGGTTAATATCTGCACGCATTTCAGTTTCCAAATATTATCTAAAATACAGATAGCACCTAAAAAATTAAACCAGCATTTAAAATTTAAATACCTTTATAAACATAAACAAAGCAAATTACGAATTTCCCACTGATCAGTATCGTTTCCAAAGCCTACATCCGAAAATCTGTCCAAGTAACTCGGTTCTTCGTTGCAAGGGGATTCCACGATTAAAACAAAACCGATAGCAAGACATTTCACATCGTGGACGGTCGTTAAGCACAATTCCCCCAGGTCGTGATCTAAATTCAACCGCCTTCCTGGCCAGAACGAGCGCGGCGACGAGCACCAAAGAGGTACAAAGGACGCCGAAACAATGGGGGTCAGAAGAAGAGCAGAGGAACGAGTTAAAGAATGGAAGGAAGTGGCCGCGCAGGGGGGTGGCGGAAAGGAAACACGGACAAAGGGAACGTACGACGAGTGGCCCCTTCACTGAAGATGTTTACGGGCCTGTTACGCGTAAAGTGGGTGGCAAACGCGGTAACTAGTATGCAAACTACGAGTAAACACAATTGCCTTATCCCACCCGCCATGGCGGACCGTACTATGCTGCCTGTGCGTTTGTCGCGGTCCAGTCTCCTGGATCAAATCAAGTAACGAAACTAGCTCACGGTTAGGATGAAATTTATGACACGGACGGTTGAAATCTGCTATTTTTTAGACGTTTCGGAAAGTTGTATATTAACTGTGGACAATTCAGTTTTCAAAATATGGCCTCAGAAATTGTCCTTACTGTGGAAAGTTGTCTACTGCACATTTGCGTTTTCAGCACTTCGACTCAATAGCAATTGACGTGCTAGAAATTTCTGAAACTCGACTCGATCAGTAATGTGTCCACTAGACACGCGATACCCTTGGGTCATACAAAAAGCTATATGAAGCTGTAATACTAAGAATAACTATATATACAAAATTTGCATTGATTCGGTTGTAAACCTGACTTGAAACTTTAAACGTGTTTTTCTCAAAACCACATTTTTGAAATCGGTGACCAAAATATCTCGAAGTCGCGAAGCAAAAAAGCAATCATGTTGAAGATTTTAGAACGCAACACTGTTAGCTACCCTCGAACCAGAGATTCGTCGTCCGTGGTATGGACGATTTTTCGGTAATGTAATCTTCAGGCCTCGCGTAACTCCAGTCAGATGGAGGTGTACGGGCCGAATAGAAATTTTGTGTAGTTACAACTGTGGATCCATTTGCATACATCAACCCCGACCAGGAAAACCGAATTTCCCACAGGAAGAGATCCCGTTGACGGGGATCGTGCCGAGTCGACGTCAACAGAATCCATTCACGGATCTCTGGTTTTCTCGTTAGCGGTCTTCCCACTCGGTTTCGAATGGTCTCCGCTCTGCTTCGAAAAATTGGACGAAGGATCGATCATAATACTGTTGCAGTGACCGGTCTAAATTCACTGTCTTGAATAGTCAAAGGTTCGCTCACTTTTCCGAAAGAGTTCTAGTATCAGGCGCAGCAATAAGTTCTATTCAAGAGAACTCGAAATCTGACGAATATTAAAATCCTCGAAACCAAAACGTTGGATTTACAATTTTCGTTTTATATTTTCGATTTACGTCTGCACAAGGAATTACTTCCTCTTCGTTTATACAACGACATTCTATATATATCCAATATAAGAACAACAGTCCATTTGAACTCTTAAAGTCTACACTATATTCCTACTGATTCAACCACACATGGATTAGCGTAATCCAGACCATTCTTTTGATAATAATAATAATAATTTATTGTAACGGGCTCTAATTCAACCATTATACATTTAAATAATGTAGGGTCTGCTGTACCAGTTACAAAGTTTTTTTAATAGATTCGTAAGTCAATAAGGAAAAAGAACATATAAGGAATTTATTCACAAATCTTTTAATAAAGCACCACAGCCTTCAGTTCCCACCCTTCACAGTTCAGAAATTCCTAGTGTCTTTCGGAAGGACTGGGTTACCCTAACTCAGTATGGTCCTTGAGGGTTAAGGAAGGTATATTCCTTGCTACCTAATCCAATTTTTCGAAGTAACAAATTCACACCCTAATTCGACTACAATCTATCTCACTCGACCTGTGTGTATCCTCTCTATCAAAAAAATACCTAGCACCCGAATCAGCCTAAGCATCATCATTCCCATCGCATCAACCCTAATTCCACAAACGCCGGAACCGAGTCAGAGGGTAGAAACCTTCCCCCTGGAAATCGTCCTTCTCGAAACAATATCGATAAACCCTGTCAGCACCGGGGGCGAGAACTTAATTCTGGACTACAGACCGGTGCAAGCTGCCCGAACACATCCGCGCTTTGTCTTCGTGACCTCCTGATTAGATTTCGTAAGTTCCCCGTGCCCTGAAGGTGGTCGGTCGGTTGGATGGTGGAAGAGCAGGAAAGGCGGAATAGCGGCCTGGGTACACGGTCTTGGCACAATACCCTATTTCAGCGAGGTAATGGGCGATCATCCCTGTACACACGCCTGCGCCGTGAGTCACTTGTTCGGCCCCTGTGTGTATAATAGCGGCGCCGATAGAGACCGGCGCCGATCTAACCGGCTGTATACCACGACCAGTGGACAACAAGGTGAGGATGCGTCCGTGTACGGAGGAATGGATAGGCTGGACAGACGTATGCAAATCTCGGCCAAACATTAGCGGCGACAGTACACACGCGCTCTGCTTACCGTAAACCTGCAGAGCGAGCTTCTCTGATTGGCGGGTCACACTTTTGAGGAACTCGCTGGATCAGCTTGAGAGGGATAGAGGGACGTTTTGGTATATCTATCGGGGATTAACCCGTTGTCTTATAACATCGAGTCAGACTCGTGGTGACGATATCAAAATGGATTCAAGAAACAGAAATATTATTAGTTTTCTTTGAGTCAACAATTCGAAGATAGTAGGTTGATCTAGAGAGTGACACAGGTTGGTGTAGAACACTGTAAGATGTCTTACGTATGGAATGCGTGTGTATAGTCTTAAAGGGACTACATTAAAACTAGGTTTACGAGCATTTATCGTGTACGTATCTCCACGGCACGCG